CGTAACCAAATGCAATACCTGAGCCACTATAAGCTCAAGGAGTTGGTCAATAAATATTCAGACCACATCTCGCTGCCCATACAAATGCGCAAAGAAGAGTGGGTAGAGGGTAAAGACGGCAAGGGCGGCGAGATGGTGCGTACCGACACCTGGGAAACCGTCAACCACGCCAATGCGCTATGGACGCGGCCCAAAAAAGACATCACACCTGAGCAATACCAAGATTTTTACAAGCAAATCAGCTACGACCATCATGACGCACTGGCCTATACCCACAACCGTGTAGAAGGCAGCACCGAATACACCCAACTGCTCTACATCCCCGCGCAAGCCCCTTTTGATTTATACAACCGCAACGACAAAACGGGTCTTAAACTCTACGTTAAACGTGTCTTTATCATGGAAGACGCTGAGACACTGCTGCCTGGATATTTGCGCTTTATCAAAGGCATAGTGGATGCCAATGATTTGCCGCTGAACGTTTCGCGCGAACTGCTGCAAGAAAGCCGCGATGTGCGCAACATCCGCGAAGGCAACACCCGCCGCGTGCTGGGGCTGCTAGAAGATTTGGCCAAATCTGATACTGCCACTCCAACCCAAGAGGGTGATGGCTCATCAGCCAAGGATGACAAATATGCCACTTTTTATCAAGCTTTTGGCGCGGTACTAAAAGAGGGTTTGGCAGAGGACATGAGCAATCAGGCGCGCATCGCCGAGCTGCTGCGCTACCGCTCCAGTCTATCTGAAGGCCAAAACATCAGCTTGGCGCAGTACGTTGCCCGAATGAAAGAGGGTCAAAAAGCCATCTACTATCTGACTGCCGATTCCGAGTTGGCAGCGCAAAACAGCCCACAACTAGAGGTCTTCAAGAAAAAAGGCATAGAGGTATTGTTCATGACTGACCGCGTGGACGAATGGGCTATGGGCTACTTAAACGAATACCAAGGCAAGCCGCTGCAAAGCGTGGCCAAGGGCGCAGCCGATTTGGGAGACTTGCAAGACGAGGCTGAGAAAAAAGCCGTTGAAGAAGCTAGCAACACCTATAAACCTTTGTTGGAAAAGCTAAAAACCGCGCTGCAAGAACAAGTGCAAGACGTGCGCATCTCCAATCGCCTGGTGGATAGCCCAGCTTGTTTGGTCGTGCAAGATCATGGTATGAGTATGCAGCTAGAGCGTTTGCTCAAGCAAACCGGGCAAAAAATCCCCAGCTCCAAACCTACTATGGAGATTAACCCACACAACGCGCTGATACAAAACCTCTCTACATCCAGCAGCAGCGACTTTGACGCACTTGCCCATGTGCTCTACGACCAAGCCTTGCTGGCCGAAGGCCTGATGCCCAGCGACCCTGCGACTTTTGTTAAACGCATCAATTCGCTGCTGTTGTCCGCACAATCGTCCGCACTATCTTCCGCACAATCACCAGCTGCTGAAAAAGCCTCGTAAGTTAGGGCAAGTCAAGCACAAGGCCTAAAACCGCTGCGAGCCCGCTATTCATGCGGGTTGCAGCGGTTTTTTATATGCCAATGGACTATCCCCTAAAATAGCCATCAAGCCTTAGAGCCATGCGGCTTAGAGGCAAATATCTTGATTTGACAGGCTTATTGCCCATAAATGATTCAAAAATCTACTTTAAGCCTTTGTTTTTAGAGGCAAATTGCAATACTGCATCTTGGCTTTGAGAAAAAGCATGCGCAGCAATATTACCTCTGGCGTAGGCCAAATAGTCGCGTGCCTGGGTGATGGCACTTTTATAATTGGCCCAATTTTGCGCCTTGGCGATATTTTCGCAGTGGCTCTCTAGGCTGAGGCCAAATTTTTGTTGCAAAAAGTCTATAGCTGAGCGCTTGGCATCTTCCAAGGTAAAAATTGCAGGAATCAAGCTGCGTTCAGGATTGCCCAAGGTATCTGTTTTCTTTTTTTCTATTTGGGCAGCTGAGCCAGCTAATGAGACAGGAGGGTTTTGGTAAGCCAACGCCGCTGCATTGGGCATAGCCGCCTTTTGCACCGCCTTGTTTTCTGATTTTTCAATCAACCCCAATTCCTGCAAGGCTTTTAATGCATCCT